TTGAGTCTTATCTATCAGAGCTGCAAAAACTTGCCATGACTATTTTTGGAATGATGGCAGTAGCACTAAAGATTGATAAGAGAGAGATTGAAGAGACGTTTGAGGATGGGATGCAAGCAGTGAGGATGAATTACTATCCTCCATGCCCACAATCAGAGCGAGTGATGGGCTTCAATCCTCACTCAGATGCCACTGGAATTACAATCCTTCTAGAAATCAATGGAGTGGAAGGCTTCCAAATTAAAAAGGATGGAGTTTGGTTTCCTGTTAGGTTCCTCCCAGATGCCTTTGTTGTCAATGTGGGAGACGTTTTTGAGGTTTACCATACCCCTCTCTCTCTCTCTCTCTCTCTCTCTCTCTCTCTCTCTCTCTCTCATGAAAATATATGTACATAATAATACTGTACTAGTCAAGTCCCTATTTCAAACACAGTATTAATACTTGTTGCAATTTTTTGACATAATTTACTTATTTAATCTATTATTGTTCGTGCATTGACAAGGAACTACGTCCAATATTAAGAGTTTCTGCTATAGTTTGGCAACAACAATGAATTGAATAAACAAATTAGACTTAAGAAGCATTACTTCTGTTCTTATATGCATCCTTACGAATGATGAGGCTGGCAATTGGAATTACCAGGTCAAATTCATAGTTTGTCGAATTTAATTTTCTCAAAATTTTGTCAATCAAAACACAACATAATTAGTTAACCTTGTAAAAATTTCTAACTCTAACACAACCCAAATTATTGTGTTATGTTTGGTGGGATAGACCGGTTGCACGAATCATATTTATGTTGAGAAAAATAAAAGAATGATGTAATACTAAAAACTTGTGGCCTATATTAAGATGTTAACAAAGAAATCTAGAAAAAGATTATCATTAAACATTATTATTTACTACACAAAGGACAAATTAAACATTATTATCATAGAGTGTGAATGTGTTTGTGAGACAGAACCAGGAGACCAAAGAACTCGAAAAACTGAATATCCAACCTAATTCGAATAATTAAACTATAGTTGATTTTGGAAAATCACTGCTAACTTTTGATTTAATTTTATCCTATAATCATTCAATTACATAAATACATTCACGTATTCATATATAATTCGGATTGAATTACTATCGAATTGGATACTGATAAATCTAAATCTAAATTCATGAAATATGATATAACTCGGATTTGGTTAATTGGTCTACAAAACAATTAATTTCCATTTCAACCATATTTCAGATGCACATCGGATCAAATTTGAATAAGAATCTAGTCTATTGATAGGCCCAACTTCCCAATTCACCATTTTTTGCTCGAAAAGTGCCAGTATTACATTAATGGGGCATAAACTACGTGCAGTTTTACTTTCCTATTATTACATGATTATGCAGATCTTCAGCAATGGTATTTACAACAGCATAGAGCACAGGGCTATAGTGAATGCAGTGAAAGAAAGGATCTCCATTGCCATGTTCTTCAACCCTAAATTTGAAGCAAAGGTTGGACCAGCAAACAGTCTTATAAACCCACATAACCCTCCATTATTTAGAACTATTACAATGGAGAACTACTTTAAAGACTTCTTTTCTCGTAAACTCGATGGGAAGTCATATCTGGAGCACATGAAGCTGAAAAATTCAGAAAATTACACCATTTGAGGTTTATGGTGAGGTTTAAAAAAAAATTGGTATATTGTATTATGGGTTTTGAGCTACATACTTAAATCTAATCGTCTAATACAATTTGATAACTTAATCTCACTGTTGTCAATAGATTGTTAGTGGATTTTATTTAATGCTAGGAACCACTATTAATCGAACGACAATAGTGGAGGATTAGGTTAGAAAATTGGTTACCAAGATAAGATAAAAGTAATATCTTATAAATAGTGTGACTTGTACCATATTTCTTGTTGTAATTAGATTGGTAGTGTCACCTCCTTGTATTGATTGTACCACCGGAAGACCCTCTTTAGTGTATAATAACCTAAAGAATAAAGGAGGGTATTATTATTCTGTATTTATAAATATTGTTGTGTATGATTGGCCAGTTTTATATAATGAATGCTTCTCTTTGGACTTATGTATGGTTAAGAAGGTCATGGATCGATCGCAAGTACTACATTATTCCAAGTTATATGTTAAGAGTTCAAGTCTTTGATGTATTTATGCATGTCTAAGACATGTAAATTGGATAAATTAAATCCAAAATAAATTAACATGGGTAGTTTGTAATCATCTATCATCATCTACGCATATTTTAGACCCATAGTTACAACATATACTCTGAAAAACATGCACGTCAATATTACCTGGAATTTAGGCAACAAATGAAACTCAAACCAAGTCATGTAAATTCACGTCTTTAACTTTTATTCAACCACTAAAATAACTGATGTGGGTTAGCTATCACATATTACTATCGATTCCCGGTTGCTCTATTTGAACCAAATAGGAGACCTTCATTATGTCAGTTGTTATTTTTTTTTCTTTTTTTTTGAATAAAAAAATGATGATTTTATTGATTTGAATCTATATTGCATCCTAATTCAATAAAGGTTGCAGAAAACCCAAAGCTTCCCCTTTCCAACAACTTACATCACAAATAGACTAGCATAGTAAGCTAACCAAATGTTTGCATTGGGCAAGGCCCACTGTTAGAAGAAAGGCCGACCGGCCTTATGCATCGGCTGATCCTACTGGGTTTTTAAACGGATCATTATTGTGGGAAAATGGGTTAGGCCAAGGAACACTTCCATGGGCCTAATCGGTCCTTTCTGTCAAGACACTAAAAATTAAAATGTAAATGTGAAAATCTAAACACTTTATCAAACACTAGTCGTGTTTCGTGTAAAATATGTTTTTTTTTAATGTATGGATTGAATTACTGTGGTTAAAAAATTATAATTTAAGTAAGTTAATGTGATTAAAAATTCAAATTTAAATGAGTTATCGTGATTAAAAAGTTAAATTGTAATATAAACCGTGTCATCAAAATAATCTGGACTGTTTTATACGTATGTAACACTTAGACAACTATATTAATGCCTGTTAGTATATCTGTAAGTAAATTACACTTAAATCCTATGAAATTTATAAGCGTATAATACTTAGACCTCTAAAGTTTAAAATATTATACTTAGACAAAAAATACTTCAATCAAAGATAGAATATCAAATATTTTAAAATTTATAGCCAAAATTCATGTTTTGTTATGACATTTATTGAAATAAAATTAAAAATAAAAGTCTAATTTTTTCTTAAGAAATTATAATTAATATACAATTATATTATATATTGGAATTTAATTTAGTCATTTAAACGATAAAATGACCAAATATCATAATAGAACATGAATTTTGATTGTAAAATTTATGCTCTATTATGAATGACTTAGATCCCTTGTTTGATTTTTTTTGTTTTATTTCAATAGTTAGTATAATTGTATAATAATTATAATTTTTTAAGAAAAAATTAAATTTTTATTTTGAATTTTGTTTCAATAAATGACATAATAAAACAAGAATTTTGATTTTAAAATTCATATTCTATTATGAATGACTTAGACTCATTGTTTGATTTTTTTTTTTTTGTTTTATTCTAATAGATAGTATAATTGTATGTTAATTATGATTTTTTTAAAAAAATTAGTTTTTTATTTTTGATTTTATTTCAATAAATAACATATTTGAACATTAATTTTAAATTCATGTTCTATTATGAATGATTTAGACCCCTTATTTGATTTTTTAATTTTATTCTAATATATAGTATAATTGTATATTAATTATGATTTTTTAAGAAAAAATAATAATTTTATTTTTGATTTCATTTCAATAAATGATATAGTATAACATGAATTTTGGGTGTAAAATTTAAATATTTGATATTCTATATTTGATTGGATATTTTTTGCCTAAGTATAATATTTTAAACATGAGAAGTCTAAATATTATACACTTATAAACTTTAGGGAGTTTGAGTATAATTTATTAACTAATATATTGACTGCAGGAATCTAAGTGTTAAGTGAATACAAACTTTACGAGGTTTGTGTGAAATATTTAAATATTTGGAAATCTGAGTAATTAAGTAACAAATTTCAAAGGGTTTTAATATAATTCTCCTAAACAAGGAAATAAAGATGTGACAAGAAACTATTTTCCATGGACCAAACACGCTCTCAAAAAGTCAAGGGTAAATGGCATTTTATACCCCAAAAAAGTATTGCATTTTTAATTTATGGCTTTAAAGATTGAAATTTTCATATTATACCATTAATCAAACAAAAATGTATGTGCTCTATTTTTTAAAAATGAGGACCAAAATTCCATTGAAAATAATTTAAATTGAGTATTATTTAAGCAATTGTGTACAAAAATCTATATAATATTACAACTAAAAAGTTAAATTCTAAATTTATAAAAATACACCAACTATCAAGATTAATCTAATTTAATTAATTTAATTCAATGGTACAAACATCCCCCAAAAAAAATTTTCCCAAAAACATCAACTGACAACACAATCAATATATTCCTGAATGTCAAACGATCTCATAAATTCATACTTACCTCTCTCTTCATTTGATTTTAAATTTTATAATTAAAAAAATTAAATTATTATTTAAAATTCAAATATTATAAAATCAGTTTAATTTTTAATATTATATACAATGTACAATATATTCAGACACAGAATTATTGCTAATAAGATAATATGACAAATAAACAAAAAAATTGTCAAAAAAGGCAATAAAATTTTACTTTTATACTACATTGTCACATTTTCATCTGATTGAGGGTATAATATGATAATTTTAATCTTTTATTGTATAAATTAATTTTTTTTAAAAAAAATATTAAGGTACAAAATATGGTTCACCCAAAAATTAAAAAACACCACAAACCAAACTGTACCCAATTCATAACTACATACATTTCCGCTAATTCTCTCCCCCATTTCTAACCAATAACCAACAGAGAGAGAGAGAGAGAGAGATGGTGGAACAGGTAGAGAAATTGACAACTGCTACACCAGAAGATCAGATCGAAGAAAAAGAGTTAGAGGAAGGAGAGATCATCGATGACGAAGACGAAGCTGAGTCGTCTACGAAGCTAACCACAAAGACCTTAAAACACCCACTCGAACACTTGTGGACTTTCTGGTTCGATAGCCCTTTGGCAAAATCGAGGCAGTCCTCTTGGGGAAACTCCCTCAAGTCAATCTACACCTTCTCCACCGTCGAAGAATTCTGGAGGTATATATATTCACAGTTTTGATTATATTCACAAGAATTCTTAGATCCAAATGTTTTGGGAGTTTTTGTTAATTTGTTTGGTCGCAAAAAAAAAAAATAATAAGAAAATGGGTAGTGATTGGTGAGAGTTCAATAGATTGATATTAAATTTTCTTGAATTGGATTGTAAGCTATACTTACTGGTTTGATTTCGAAAGAATTCGCGAGATTAGTATGAAATTTTCTTGATTTGGATTGTAAGTCATACTTCTTGGTTTACGCCTTGCATATTTATTATTTAATCTATCTATTAATCTGTGTGTATTATATCTATGATTCAGGGTTTTTAGAAAGCTAAGATGGGATATTGTGGATATTTGGAGAGAAATACTTGGGTGAGGGTTAGGGTTTTTGTTGACTGTTCTAGTGCTATATGGCTGATTTTTGGTGATGTTATGTGGATCTTGATTTAAATTTCTATTCAAGATGGTTGGTCTTCGATTCATTAATGCTAATCCTGGAATTAGGTTAAATCACTTTTGTTCGCAAGTTATGTTACAAATTTTGGGTGGCACTCTGGGATTCTAAATTACCTTCTGGGAGAAATATTTTCTTATATCAATGTGCTCTATGCTCAGCACAAATGTAGTTTCCTTAAAAATTTAATCATCACAGCCTAATGGGACTAATTGACAAAATAAACCGAACTCAGATTTTTTCCTACTAGACATCTGGATTTATGTTGTCCAATTAGTCTGGGTTATGAGTGCTTATAATGGTGCGTCCAGATAGACTTCTCAACCCCATAAGTCCTTTTGGACAATTTCGAGCTGTTTGGTGATACTGGCATTTTAACTTCCTCGGAAGAAGCGCGTTCTCAGAATGCCCATCTAGAAAAGCTGGCCAAGTTAGCTTCTACATACTGTGCTTCTCAACTTCTCGTGAAGTTGGTTGGTTCCATTTTTATCCTTAAATCTTTTACAACAGCCTATAAGATATCTAGAATACGTGCCCACCCTATATTATGTATGCACGGACTGCATATATATACAAGTTTCAGAATCAAGTTGATGAAAACAGATAAGAGAGAAACAGAGAAATATGAACATGGCAGCAAGAATGCACATCAATCCCACTTAAAGAAGATCCAAATCCCAGACAGTCGTTCCCCTACCACCTTGAAGTACCACATCCATGGCAATCAGTCTTCCTTCAAACATGATTGTGTAGGTAACTGCATTGTGATTCAGGAAACAATCAATGATTCAACAACGCACCGCCACCATCCCAACTGGCATGATCCACCCAAAATCATTGGACACGCACAAATCTATGGACGAGGTGAAGCTAGATATGAATTGAGAGAGAGAGAGAGATTGACGCAATCATCACCTCTTCACCTAGATCTAATAAGAGTGAGAAATAGATGAAAAAAAAAAAAAGAAGTGATCACGCGATTCATCTAGAAAGAGATGCAGAAAAGAGAAAAAAGAGATGAGATCCAATTCCTCCCTGTTCATTTTCACATATCAATTCATTTGGAAACAGATAGGACAAACAGGCTTTCAAGGTAGAAACTACCGACTAAGTCTTGCAAATTAGAGAAAGAGAGAGAAGGGCCGATTAATGATGTATAATATGGTATGTCAGTACCCCCACCGTATTTCCGTCCAATGTTGGGCAACTCCATGAACGATATGATAAGTAACAATCTTTTATGGTAGAGTAGGTGACCGAGCCATGTTCATTTGTTTAGATATGGCATAGTCAATCTATTTTTTGCAAAGCGTTTTATTTTTAATTTTATCATGTAATTTCAATGAACATCTAAGAAAAATTTAATTAAATTTTAAACCTCAAATCAATACAGATTATAAGATTAATAGGTTCACAAATATTCACTAACTATCTAATGATTATTAATGTGTCATATTATTTGGGATACAATAATGGACACAAACATTTCTGAAATTGTATTTCAAGTAGATATAATAGCAATGAATGACTTCTTGTTAATTACTTCAATTTGTTGCTGTTTAACATTTGTTTGTTCTACTTATATTGGCTGTTTAAATAAATTTAATTTAAAAATAAATAAACAAATAAGAGTATGATAAAGGCATGGTCTCACTGATAACCATGTGAAATTTTATATTTATAAAATATTGCCACCAAACTTACTCCCATATAAATAGATACACTTTTTGATTAGAAGTACTTTTGAGATGAACATTCACCAAACATGAGGTGTTTCTTAAAAATCCATCTTAAGAAGTTCATTTGACAAAAAGTTCATCTCTAAGATGGACCCTTATTATAAGAAGGTACTCCAAATGCAACCAATGTTTTTTCTAGAAATATCAGGGTGTAATGGTTTTTTGTTTTTTTTTCCAAAAAGAAGCCAAAAAAGAGGCTATGTAGTTTTTGAAGCATGGGAATGGACTCGTGAAATTATGGTTAGACCTCTGAGTTTTGTATTATTTATAACATACCAGTCATGCATATGATTTACAGCCTTGTGGACTGCAAGCTGTTCCATTTAAGATGCATGCTATCTGTATTCAATAGAGTTTGAGGCATGTTATATGTATTAAACATAATGAATTTCATGTCTGCTGTAGTCTTTCTTTCACTTGAAATAACATTTGCAAAGCAAATGGGAGAAGAGAACATTTGAAGTCTTCTTCATCACAATTTAAACAAGTCAAATAGAATGAATTGCTTTCTTTTGTCGGTTCTGTTTTCTGAATATTGGTTGGCTAGTCGGTATTACTCCCTTTGATTCTGGGTTTTGACTAGTCTGGGAAGTTTTTTATGTCACCTGTACAATGAAATTAATTTGTTGTAATGAAGGAAACACTCTTTTGTTGCTATAAGCTGTACCCCTACCATTTCCTAAATATTTGGGGTGGATTCGAATGACTGAAGGTCAGGACAATCTCTTGAGTTTTTCAGTATGCTTACTTACATATTTGGCATGTCTTTCTTTATACTGTAGCCCTAAATTGTTGGTTTGATGTTGCAATTTTGTTAATTCTCATTATTTGGCCGCTATATTTACTTTACATGCAGCCTTTACAATAATATACACAATCCAAGCAAGTTGGCTGTTGGAGCAGATTTCTATTGTTTCAAGAATAACATACAACCCAAGTGGGAGGACCCTATTTGTGCTAACGGAGGAAAGTGGACTGTGACCTTTGCTAGGGGGAAAGCTGACATCTGTTGGCTCCATACGGTATGCTAGGAGTGATACGATTTAAGATTGAATTATAAAATCTAATGATATGTACACTAATTTTTGTATGAATTTCTGCTAGTTGCTGGCAATGATTGGAGAACAATTTGATCATGGAGATGAAATCTGTGGAGCGGTTGTCAATGTCAGAGGGAAGCAGGACAAAGTGGCTATTTGGACCAAGAATGCTGCAAATGAAACAGCTCAGGTAATTTCCTTAAATAAAGGAGCAGACCCATATTTATCAGATTGCCCTGTCAGTTGTAAGTACATTAATTTGCACTCATCTTATTTCAAATGCTACATGAGGCCCGAACTGTCATGGTTTCATGTGAGCAACCCCATAAGATTTGTTTGATTTTTTTTTTAATCATGAAATTTGGATTATATATATCACCTGTTTTGTGGTACATCATCCTATTCTTTGAATGCTCTAGATGGATTGCTAAAGGCACAGGAATAAAAAAACTGGCTAGTTAAATTGCTTTAGTTGGACCTATTATTAGGTACATGGTGTAGTTTACTAAATTGCTCTGATTGGACAGTCTAATGGGTATGTGGTGTGATTTAACTAGTAACATATCTGCTGCATCATCACTGCCTTGTAGAGTTCTATGTTTTGTGCACATGTGCATGTTACAGGGGAATATCATTTGGATTTTTCTTGTAAACAGAGAGTTGGATGGCTGCACATACTTTGTACTTAGTTAGCCTAGTCATACTCATTACTAAGCATCAAAGTAGTTGAATTTACAGATCTAATGCTGCCTCATGGGACAAATTATTCGCAATTTATCTTAGTCAGATTAGCACTTGTAGTACGATGAGATGAGAATAGACCCCATTCTACTTATAGGGATCGTTGCCTACGTATTGATATGGTCCCAATAGGTTTAGACTTTAAAAAAAAAAAAAAAAAAAGAGAGAGAAAAGTGGGTGTTCATTGGATGTACATAATGTAGCAGAGTTAGAAAAGTAGTGAATATCGTGATTTAACAGTTATGATAGATTATAAATGCCATGCATGTTACATTTATTGGTAGTTATGCCTTTTCCATGACTTTCTTTTTGAAGGATTGCTTACTGTTTACTGATACCAAAATGTGGATCACTTCTTAACTGGGGTTTTTGTTTTCAGGTTAGCATTGGGAGGCAATGGAAGGAGTTTCTCGATTGCAATGACAATATTGGGTTCATAGTTCACGTAAGGATCTTGTTTCATATTTTTTGACGCGTCATATTTTGTATTTGCGTCAATTTTCCTTGGTAGTTTCCAAAGCTATAGGAGGAAATATCTAATGTTCAGTTCTTATATTTCAGGATGATGCAATGAAGCATGACAGAGCTGCCAAGAATCGCTACAACGTATGAGTTTTGCATTGTTTAAGGACTAAAGGAATCAAGATGCTGCTGTTGTGGTGCAGTAGTAGAAGGCTACATGCCATCCATAATGGAATTCTAGAATGACATGTTACTGCCTTTTTGTAACGTTTTGGATCGCCAAAGTAGGATTTGTCATGGATCGTCGACTTTTCTTGAAAACTTGATAATATTTCTCATTTTACAATATGGTGAGTCACGTCGTGTGGGATTAGTTCCATTTTGAGGTCGTCTTTTGAACGTGTCAATTCCATCCCACCTCAAAGTCACTTTTCAGGCGTCAGGGTTTCATCACTTTTGGGATGACATTCATGACAGCTTTGCTTCGGCCAAAATTGTGAAGGGGTTGTAGATAGATTTCCGAAGTATAAAAAAGCAATCTGTTATTAACTCTATCCACAAGAAAATAATCTGTAATTATCCTTTGAAAATCAGTGTAACTCCTGTGTTAACAAATCACAAGAACAAACTGACATCGATTTGCAAATATTCACAAGTTCTTTCATATTCTATTTATATACTTCAACCTTTAAAAGCACAGACAAGTTCTTTCATATTCTCTTAATTTTACTATTGAATAAAATTAAGAGAAAATGTAATGAAGATTTCAATCCCAACATCAAAGAGCTGTTAGAAATATATGGGGAGGGTGAGGGGAAGGGGAAGGGGCAGGAAGAGAGAGAGGGAGATCCAAATCTAAACTGGCTGTCTCAAAACGTATATTACAGTTAACAACTATATAGATTCAAAATTCCCACCACAAATCCAACCACCTCTCTCCCAGAAATAACAATCAATTTACAACCCACATCCCTCTTCCCACACACTATTGCACAAGTAAAACGATCATCGGTAACAAAGAAAGGAAGAAATTAGAATATGATACAGGATTTCGGTGCTATGAGAAAATCTCCCCCTCTTCCCCATCTCCATTCAAAATTGCCTCCTCATCGTCATCTACCATATATTCTTCCTTTATATACAAACCGAGCTGTTCCAAAGGATTCCCAGAGTGACCCCACTCAACTGCTTCCAATACCACTCCAGACCCGTCTTCACCATTAAGGGAATGATCAGACAGCGAGCACTGCCTTAACAGCTCGAGATCTTTTAATATCTGTAAGTTCTCATCGATTTCAACAGTTTTTTCCATCTGACCAAAAGAAACAATAAAAAACAATCCATTTTTCAATAGGCATCCAAAGAGATGGAAAAAACTTGAAGATATGAGACAACACAAACCTTCTGCAAGGCAATTCGGGCAGCTTCTCTTTCTCTCTCCCGCTGCATTTTCAATTCTGCCTCTGCCTTCAATCGTGAGGCAGCTTCAGCAGCTTTAATTTGGGCTTCAATCATGGCCTTCTCTGTAAACAACAAGAATAGCAGCAGCAGAATTTAAGTAATATTGTAATATTATGACAGGATGTGGCATCAAGTGAACTGAAAACATTGAAACCAGAAAAAAAGAAATGAAGAAACGGGAGCCAGTGTGATTTATAATGATAGCATATTTCACATAGCACCACATGGACTGAAAGCAATAAAACCCAAGAAAACAGGGAAAAAAAAATGAATAGCAACAGTAAAACATTTCCATGATTTCCATGTGAGAAAGAGGTTTTGAACGTGGAGACATGTCAAGAATCGACTAACATGGTCATGGAATTTCCCATGACCAGCGGAAAGATCCCAAACAGCTTGAGGAGAACAGAAACATGGAAGATCCAAGAAGTGCATCAGTCAAAAACATAATGATATGAATGCGAATGGCCAACTTCAGTTCCTTAAGCAGATTAGCCAAATGTCAAAAAAAAGATTCTCATCAATCTTGGCCAAATAATTGTGGTAAGGCAGCATAATCACACGTGATCAGCATAGCCCTCAAATAGTCAAAGGCTTTTCAAATACAAGATCAGAAACTTAAAAAAAAAAAAAAAATTGCAGTATGGGTCCAACTCCACCAAGCAGCAGCTCCACAGAAAGGTAGAGATAGAGTGCCAGCATTCAATGCCTAGGATTCTATACTATATAATTATTTCTGGATAATATAACTTTCTTTTAGTTGTTGCCGTTATCATTATAATTTCAATCTTAACAAGCAGGCATAGTTCAGATGTAACATTTATAGGCAAAGTACACAAAAGTGGGGAATTTTGAGAAACATATGGAAACAAAATAGCATATATGCAAAGAAAAGCACTTGTTAACAGTGGATATAATACAACTCTTTCGAAAACAGATGGCCCAATATGAAAAATAGTAAAATACTTCAATGCAGGAATTGAAGTGGTTATGGCGATAAATATTATGAGTGTGCCAACAAAGTGCCCAGACATGGTCCCAGAAATGTAAAATGACAATCATATTTAAGGCAACTGCAAACCACAATGTAATATAAAGCATAGAATTCAGAAAATGCAATAAGTACCCATGCCACATATGGAGTAGACAAACCAAACAGCATCCCAAAAACGCAGTCTCAACTCAAACAATTTAAGAGCAACCTAAAAAACTCAACAAATCCTTGTTCTTTTAATTGAAAAGGATGGAGACCTAGATTTCTTTCCTATTGAACTTCTAACACCATCCCGCTGCCAAAATATATTTCACAAAGTTCATAAAAACACAATTAATTTTTTGCCTTCCACTCTTGAACTTCTTTATTCCATTTCCCACAACATATATCAGAATTAAATTTTCATCTGGCCACTCCATCCCAGATTCTACTCAATTAAAATTCATAATTTTTTTTTTTTGAATTTTAAGTAGCAGAAATTTGGAGAATACAGATAACAACTGCACAAAATCTAAAATCCCAAAGTTCCACTAAAAAAGACCTCAAAAACTTGATATTCACAAGTTCAAGCAATCCATCCAAACATAAAGGTTATAAAAAAAATCACATATGTATAACACTGAACACATGTTAGTTGAAGACAAGCACAAAGTTACTTCTATCACCTTCACGCTGTTGCTTTTCCAGTCTCTCTTTTTCTTGCTGCAGCGTTGCAGGATCAGCTTTATCACCCTGAATGATTAGATCGCAGCCCTCAATAAGCAACATCCCACACTAAACCTAGACTCAACTTCTAAGTCAAAAGATGAGAACATTCAAGTTTTGCATGCCAAAGTTACAGTAAAGGAAACATTGCATTACATGATCTAGCAATGTCTTCTGTTTTGCTTTCAAAATAGTGTCTGCAAAGCGGCTCTTTAACATTGCAGCACGCAGAGCCTTCTTTGGGGACAGTTGAACATCAATAAGTGGAGCCCAACCTAAACCAATGAACCAGTGTCAAAATCAAAGGTTACTGATATGAGATTCAAAATAATGAGTTTATGTACAATTACCAAAAATAGAAAAAAATAATGGTTCGCAATGACAAATAATTCAGGTGCTATATGTATATATATATGTAGAAAATTAACCTTCTCCAGAAGTGGCGCTTGTGGCAGAAGTTGAGGGACGAGGACTAGAATGAATAATTTCCTCATCCAGAGCACTTACAGCCCCTTCGCACATTTCCAACTTCATGTCAAAACTCAAATAAGCTAAATATCAGAAATAATAAATGTGGGAAAATGGTCTCACCACCAGAATCCGGATCTGATTTGCTTGTGTGGGATGGTGGCATGGTTTTCACCTCAGAATCCTTGATGTAGTTACAAAGGTGTCAACCATAGTTTGCATAACATGCATAAGATGAATTAACAGACAAACTGATGAAATTTCCAAGTAAATGACGAGCTTTACCAATTTCAAAACACCACCATGATGTTGAACCAGTGATCTGTCTGACGATACATCTGAACCAAATCAAGATGCAAATTGAGTCAGTTAACTACTGGAACTATCGATTAGAGAAGCAGCATAAGAAAAATCAACTTACCACTGAAGGATGCATGGGAATACTCATTTTGAGGGCTGCACTGGCATATCACACTGTCACCCGAACCAGATTTGGAGGCAGCTGAGCTAAATGGTGGTTCTGTAGTGGCAAAGTTGCCAGCACTTGCACTACCACTATCTGTGCCTATAAGACACATTGCCAATTAGCTCCTTTAAAGAGCCATAAAGCAGAAATTATACTCTGCCACTTCATACCTTTACGGACAAACTTCCCAATCAACAGACGCCCACCATTTTGTGTCGCTTTCTTAGACTCCACCTGGCATAGAAAACATGTACAAGTTGCAGATGAATGACAATTTAAACACAACAAAAAAAATGGAACATAATGACCATCAGAAACACAGAATGCCTCAACTAGCTTGCTAACGGTAGAAAACTGGACCAAATCAATATACCGCAAGCTCATGTGCCCATGATCACATCTAATCATTGGTCCCATGCAAATTACCTACCTTCAAAGATCTGACATCCAATGAACCCGTCGGTGCTTCCATCCGCTCTTTTCTCTGTGTTTGTTTATCCTTAGGTGACATTGACTTCTTGAGGGGAAAACTAGCCCGAATTGGTGACTTTTTATGGCAAGCCTGCATTGTATCCGTGTTATTCTTTGCTCTTCCACTTGAAATGCTCTGCTCAACCTTTTTGCTGTCGCAATTCCATTTTTCCTCTAACAATTTCCATCTTCTACCAAAAATATTATCCAATTCCTTTGCCATGTGATGAACATTGTTTGAAGGAGGATTATACAGCATAGCATTGGAAAAGGTCAGTCTAACATCAGCCTCAAATTCATCAACACTAAAGTACACATTACCCTCCAATTTTGTTTTAATCGTTCCCAAATCCATGGGTTCAGCAATTATAGAGAAATAATCTGGTATATTTAATGCCAAAGGATCCACTGGTTTGTTGAAAACCCACCCCGATCGATGAGTCATCAACATTTTCAGAATGCTACTACACTGTTGCTTCAAAGTACGATCAATTTTCTGCCTTTTCTCCATTTGGCCGTCTACCATTCCTGATGGTCCACGCTTATTGGAGCCTGGAATGGGTAGTTTCACCTTCAAGCTATCAGCAGAATACAAGTCTCCAGAAGAACGAATCACAATCTTTTGTGCTTTATTCATCTCAGACTTCTTGTTTCCATTCGACGACATGTTGCGTCCGCATTCATCATTTTTGAACATCTGTTGGCTAAATTTACATGATTCTATCCCTTGTTCAGCTTCAACCTTTTTGGAGGCACAAAATTTAATCTTCAACTTCTTTTTTACGCCATTCTCAGTGACGGCCATAGTGGGGAAACACAAAGACTGAAGTGGGGAACCACCCAACTTTCCTGATTGCCTCTCAGACACCATTACCCTTAATCTTTTTACCAAGACAACACCAAGTAACCAAGTGTCTGATTAACTTTGTGCCAGAGAAGAACCCAAAATTCATGGATTGCCAAAAAAAGTCAGCGAAACAGTTACTGCATAAAAACATACCCCAATAAGAAGCGGTTAATCATCCATGAGAAAGTAAACATATTAATATATTTTCTATAAATATTTTCTTCATCTACAGATATTCATGACAAACATAACACACATAATCTTAACCAGAAGCAAAGATGAGTGTCCCTATACCAGCACACCCCAACTGGCAAGTCAGATATGATTATTAAAATTAAAGAAATTATCAGTGGATGACTCCAAGCATGCATGAGACTTATAACAGATATACGGTTTATATTCTAAATGTATACAACTAGCTGACCTGAGTAATGATTGAACTAAATAGAAAAAATCTCCAGAGTAAAACGCCATTAAAATAAAATGATCAATCAAAATGGGGCCAAACCAAATCAAAGTTGAGTTTCACAAAAAATATAACTACCTACAAAATTCAATCAACCCATCTACATTCATAGACCAGAACAACAAAAAAATTGAAGTCAACCCAATATTAAGCAAAATTAGCGGTATTTGCAATCTATTCATTGGAAACAAAAAAAAAATTAAAAAGTCTTCAAAATAAGTAATCAATCGATTAGATTCACTACCCCGAAATTGTAAAAACGATAAAAACAGAACCCACTCAATCATAACTCATAAAGATCGATATGTAACAGTTAACAGTTATCAAAACAAAGCAATCAAACCAAAGAATCAAAAAGTGAATTTGATCAGCAAAGAAACCAATGAAAAGAAATTCAGAACGCAATCCTACTGGAAAATCAGAAAAAACACTTTGTACCCAGAACCTGATTAGGGTCATGCTAGGTGGGCTGACCTGGGTTACCTAAGATTTAGCAATTTAGAATTATTTGTACAAAATAGATACCCCTTATTCGAACTCAAAAACCCACGATTGTAAGAATGATGATTAATGCTTATACCATGCACCAGGCAATGACCCTGAATCTAAACACTTCCAAAAACCATAAAAGATTCAAAGGAGAGTTTTAAAAAATAGGGTTATATCAGAGTGCAAGAAATCCAAAAGAGAACGAGAATTGGCACATACCCAGAACTTAATTAACTATAAAAACATTAACTGTACGAAAGATAAGATAACCAAGACAGAAAAACATCAGGGTTTAGGTTTTCGAAGATGAGCTCTCACCAGAAACAATTCTTACAACTTTGAAGAACTTGTAATCATCGATCCATAAACCCAGAAAGCTCGATTGCAGAGACCGAAGTCACAGAGAGAGAGGGGCTTAAGAGCCCCCTCTTAATTCTCAGAAAAATGCTTCTGGATGTAGTCTTCTGTACTGCTTCAGTGTAAAACGAAGGAAGGTTTCACACAGATAGAAAGCTGGTTTTGTTTTAGCGAGGGAGTTAGGGTTTTACGCTCTCTCTCTCCCCCTATCTTGAAGAGTTCTGCCGACTTTGCATGATGAAATGACGGATTTGCCCATGATATAATAATGCTATAAACAACGAGTTGCTTTCGGGTCAAGGGTTGATTTTGTTTTGAGCGACGGATTTTACCCATGTAAGGTCAATGACTATTGTTAATTAATTATTTTATTTAATTATATATTGTTGAGTATAATTTTCTAATTACTCATCCCAATTGTTTAACAAATTGATTAAAAATTAAAAAATAAAAAATAAATAGCCCCACAATATATGTTTTAATCTTTTAAGATCATCCATTATAAATTCGAGTAAATTTTAATATATCCAAGTGAGTTTTTCATTAATAAACAACGAATAATTTAAAATCGAAGAAATTGAAGAACATCTATTAGTAAAAAAGGATCATTGACCTTGATTTCCTCCACTTTAGGCTTATCCTCTTGCTATATTATGACGTAAATACTTTCATCAATATTTATTTTAAGCAATCTTTTCAATAAATTTATCAAAATTAGCCAGACAATCGTGTAGAGGTTGTATAATGTTCAAAAATTTGGCAAAGCACAAGGGACACATAAAAACTAATAAGGAATTCCATAAAATATCTGTATTACTGAAAAGTTACTATTCAACAAGATTATATTACGACTTAATAATGTTTGTGACACCTAATTTTTGAGATCAATAATAAAAATCTTCGAATTGATTTTGAAAGTTGCTCGTGATCCTGAATTTTCAGGTAAATCCCAAATCAATTGCATTGAATTGTAACTTGGTATGTTAAATTCTTCGCTTGACCTAATTAGGTTGAACTCTTGGTACAAAATAAAAAAAATACTAATTTGAAACCATAGAAAAATCCAAAATTTCGATACACAAATTGGATAAAACGTACTCCACATTTCAAACTTCATTCTTCTTTCTCAATGCCCATCAAAAATTAAAAGAAATTGTACAAAACTTGAACTTATCAAGATCATAGGGTGCTCTATGATAGCTCGGATGGTAGGGTTTAGAGAATATATATATATATATATATATGTTATTTTAGTCTTTATTGTATCAATTTTGTCTCTAAAACATTTAATTCGTGTCATAATATCACTTAAACTGTTTTATGCTCTTTACGAGGACGATAATACTGTTAATATGTAATTTATACTCGATTAGAACAACTTGCTTCTTTTTATTGCTTAAATATGAATGTGTCTTAAATATGCTTTTGCTTCAATCTCCATTCTTCTTTTGAACCAACTCATCTTCATAAATCCTTAATTCAGTTCTCCTTTCCTGCCACTAATTCATGGAACTCAATAAAATTTGCTATTTTATTTATCCTATCTCTCGAAAATGTAGATGAAATTATGTGAGTGCCTTGATTTACATGCAAAGAAGCATAGTGGCCATACATAGGATGATATTAATTACACATATAATGCAGGGTCGATTGTGGTGTCTTTTTTTGCTACATAATGAAAAAGGTTGCATTTAGCGAAGAAATAGAAGAAAAGTTGACAGTTGAACGAGTGGGAAACTTCCGGGAATTAATGCTGTCAATGTTTCTAGACCATCGAACATCCTGGACTGAAGATGATTTCAACCAACGAACTCCTAGTCTTGTTCACCCGTCAACTTCTTTTCTATTTCTTCGCCAACTGCAATCTTTTTTAAAAATACTCTTTTCTAAATTGCTCGATAAAGCAGAGTTAACTGCACAAGAAGCCTCTTTACACACTGCAAACAATACAGGGAAAAAAAAAACATAAAGGAGGCAACTGCAGGCTTATCCAAGACATCAAATTTTTCCACATAAGGCATCTTGGGTTTTGCACCATGAACTTCCTAGACTATAGTAATGAACAACAAATGGAAATCTTCAATAAACAAGTTCTGCTAAGTGTTCTTTCATAAGCAGTTTCAGAAGCCAAAACCTGCTTAAGTTTACATGTGATATTTCTTTCTCATTGCCAAGGAAACTTGTTATAGCATAAAATGACTTAAGCAATGAACCATAAGAGCCGTAATTACATGCTTGAGCTCACCTTGATCTTATTCCTTTTAGAATGAAGCTGACTATTAGAGACAGAACTCAAGCATATGCTTCAAATTTGGGTACTGAATGCATTCTGTGCATGGAGACACCTAAATCTCACTGTTATTTAGGTTTTTATTGCAGCAGAGTGGTCTACAATGGCAGCCAAAACTTGGTATGAATTTATTGTATTCAACAATGGAGGGGAAAAACACCAAGGTCATCAAACCAACCACAAGAAATAGACTTAATTCTCGGCAATTCAAGGCCTTGTCAAAATCAGCAAATGACGCAGCTATGGCAACTTGCCTAGCATGGGCAGCGGAGCTATACATGTAAAGATTTACTCCAAAAGTACTGAAGCATCAAGTCATCATGCAGATCAAAATTTCGTGAAGGCATGGAAATGCATCAGTTGCTGAATGTATAGCAGCACATCTCTGCAGCCCCAATAGCTTTGTTTCACAGTTAGTTGATATATATTGTGACAAATCTGTTTCGAGGACTCACCAAATGAGCACCTCTAACAGATTTGCAGATACACTTCTATAGAGTTTTTACTCATGATTGTGGCTCTCCCCTTCTCATGTATATCAAGGATGTACACAATAATGAAATTCTGTTTACTATACTGCTGACAAGTGACTTTTAGAATAACAGTTCATATATCCTTGATTTGACGAAAAATGGACATTGTGATAGTTATTTGCTAATCTATAAGTTAGTAGCAACTGAGTGTAGTGGATGCACCTGAGCAACTTAATATGATATTTACACATCGGGAACACACCTAATATTTACTTACGCATTTATGAGTCTGTTTTGAGTTAAAATTATTGAGATGTCGAATATACATTTTCTATGATTAATAGGGCTAGTGCTTCAACATTCATCCTCCTTTTGAACTCTAGTAAGAGTGTGTCAGGGTTGCGTTGGAGCATGATGGAAATTACCAACTAAAACCTTTTAAAACAGAAGGCTAAAGGAAAACGCTCATATCAGGTCCCTTATACAGAAGTGCTGTTGTCATTTTCAAAACCACCTTACAAAAATATTACTATAGATTGGTTTTGTTTATTAACATTCTGCGTAAATTTACCTGTAATGTCCTAATAGATCACTTTCGGTTTGACATAAATTTACCAATTTGTCCTAATAGATCACTTTCTGTTTGACATAAATTTACCTGTTATGTTCTAATAGATTGCTTTCTGTTTGAAATCTGAAGTCTTTCTTCTTTTATCTCAGCGTATTAGGTAAATTTTCCGATGCCATTTTGCTTAAATCAGTTATTTCTCTTTTATGTGCAAATCAATGGTAAAAAAACACCAAACAACAATCAAAAACAACCAGAGACAGCAATTTTTGTTTATCTGCTGTTAAGATAATCAATAACTATTGATTTCCTATGACAGTCACTCCCCCTCTTTCTTTATATACAACCCGAGCAGTGCACTCCTCCATTATATACAAACGAGCTGAGCCATTTGAAACGGATTCCAGAGTAACCCTCCTCAACGCCTTCTAAAACCAGGCCAGACCACTCTTTGATCGGGAAGCGAACAACCAATTAACTGCTCAAAATCTTTTAAGACGGTACAAAAATCATTGAACTCAACAGTTTTTTTCATCTCCTCTAATGCGATTCTGGCAGCTTCCCTTTCTCTCTCCCGCTGCAATCTCAAGTCTCTTTGTTCAGTATTGATTTGAGATTTAATCCTGGCCATCTCTTCACGCTGCTTCCTTTGTAGTCTTTGTTTTTCCTTTTGTAATCCCACAGGATCATCTTTATACTCATGATAGGATAATGTTCGTTTCCCTTTCGGGGTAGTGTCAGCGAATCGAGTCTTCAACTTCGCAGCACGTAGAGCTTTCGGGGACAGCTGGCCATCAACATTTTTGGCCAAGTTTGAGAGACAAAAATTTAAACTCTCATGAGAATCTTTGCTTGACGGCCCAATTTTCCGGATTTTCCAAATGCCATTTGGTTTTCGGAGCTCCGACATCGAAACAATGGTCAGACTTCCACATTTTGCTTAGGTCCCCGCCTACTATCTCCATCGATCCACGCTTATTAAAGCTGACATTGTCAATGCAAAATTTCACAATAATCTCCATTGAATAATTTTCTTGGGCTTGATTTTCTTGGGTTTTCTGATTCTTGAAGTCTTCAACTTTTACTGGATAAAAAATCTGTGTTCTTCAATATTTATAACGTGTTTATCCCGTTGCAGTGTTTAAACAGAGAATGAAAGACAGAGGGCGCGCAAATCGTACTTCTATGTCTTCAAATAATTACAAAATGCCCCCCTCAAATATGGGTCATATTGTAATCAACTCCCTCTTGTTTTAATTTAAATCCTCTTAAAGTTAAAACATTTTTCAGTTAGTTTCTAATGTTAATTTCTGCCTTCAAATATGATGGAAATGAGTCACAATAGCCTCACGCACCCACCTCTACGACAACCATCCCCTCGCTTCCAACAGCAGCCCTGACAACTAATCCCTCCCTCCACTGCTGAAATCACTCACAACAGTCCCCCTCCCCACCCACCAGCTGAAAGCCTCCCCCAACGAAACTCCTCTTGTAGCTATAGTAGAAAGAAGAAATTTTTGTGGGTATATCTCGAATTGGGGAGAGAGAGATTGATTTTGTGCTATATGTGTATGGTTTGTGTATACATACATATATATGGGTTGGCACAGAGCTAATTGCAGTACGATCCAAACTTGAAAGGGGCATTTATAATTAACCTGTTGTAGCAGTGGTGACTGTGTATGGATCCAACTTGGCCACCTGCAATAAAACAAAAGAACAACAAATCAAATCTCTGATAAAAAAGTAAATTTAATTGATTTTTCTTAAACAAGTAAATTACAACGGTTCTATTTATTTTTCTGATATTTCTCTCGTGTAGAAAAATCTCCCGTCGATCCTTTCTCATAATTTTTTTTTTCTGGTTATTTCCAATTAGATCCTTCATAATCCTAATTAGATTCTCCCTTTCTGGCAAAAATTCATAAAGTTTCATATTTTTTGATATTTTAACTGCCCTATATTAAGAAAATGATGATGAAACTGTGTGAATCCCTTAATTTACATGACAGAAGCATAGTGATACCATATTGAAACAGGAGGCATAAATTAGGCAAATTTCTAAAGCATATTGACCATATGTAACCAAGCAAAATTGAGTCATGTCTTCCTATTTACTAACAATCATTTCTCTTTTTCAATATACATGCATCGAGTATAACACAGCAAATGATGGTATAGTAATGAACATCAAAATGATACTAGGAAATATGGTTCGAAGAATCTCGATAGTAGTTCCACGAACAAATCCTTTGTAAGATTGGATTTTTTTGATAGTGGAAATGCCAAAAAGCACGAACCACATTGTTAAAAGTTTAAAGTAAACTTTTGGTAAATATTATATTTAGAATCTTGTAAAACATGGTTGCACCTTGTATCCTTTTACCCACATCTAGAACCTTCACCTTTTCACCACTAAACTAGAATTCTTGAACCTTCCAAACCTCTACCTACCTTGAGCTTTTAGACCCTTCTCTAGTCATCTATAAATAGACCCCCCACCACCCCAAATCACCAAGTCAACAAATCATCAACAACAATTATCATTGCAAGGTTGTTCCTAATTTCTCTTATGTAAGCTTTTGATTGTAAGTTTGTAACTTAGATTTTTTCATTTAAGAATCTTTGTGCGGAGTTTGGACTTATTTCCAAAAGTTCACTTTAAGGGGGAGTTTTAAAAGTTTAAAGTAAACTTTTGGTAATTATTGTATCTAAAATCTTGTAGAACATGTTTGCACCTTATATCCTTCTACCAACATCTAGAACCTTCACCTTCTCACTACTAAATTAGAATTCTTGAACTTCCAAACCTCTACCTACCTTGAGTTTATAGACCCTTCTCTAATCATCTATAAGTAGACCCCCACCACCCCAAATCAGCAAGCCAACAAAAAAAAAACAAATCACCAACAACAATTACTTGCAAGCTTGTTCCTATTTTCTCTTTTGTAAGTTTTTGATTGTAAGCTTGTAACTTAGATTTCTCCATAATAATAAATGTCTTTCTTTCTTCCCTCATTTTTGGAGCTATATTTTTAATTTCTTCGTTCTTCTTCAACTTCGGCTGTGAATCTTGGGTTATATCCAATAAACCCTGCCATCCAAGCTATCTAGAGGGGTTCAAGTTCAACCTAACATTACATCTAGCTTGATGTATATTCCTAACTTCAACCAACACTTGGCTGTGACATTCAAGAGCTTGGAGTGAATGGTTCGTATGGGCACCTCAACAATGGAAAGGGAAAAATTTAATTGTCTGAGTTTAGGCTGTGACAGAATACAAACGATGGAAGGTGAAAAACAGTCGGGATCATGGAAACTACTTGCAATTTCTTCTTAATGTCATCAACCAAACCATAAGAAATTGACTTGTTTCTATGAAAAATGGGCTGAAACATTCCAAAACATGCAGTAACATAACAAAACCTACCGCAACTCTGCAAAATACGAGAATTTCAATTTTTCATTAATGATTTGTTTTGATTTCCACTGAAAGCTGAAATGTTTTGACTATTTCGATATATTTTCATTATTGCACATGATTTGAAGACGGTCCTTGAATTCCTTTGTAGCTAAATATAGTGGACAGTGGCATCAAGGCAAATTCATGAAACTTGACAAATTTTGCTATTTCCTTTATCCTATATCAAGAAAACCGTATTTAGCAATTCAAAATTGAATCATATCAGTGCATTTATTGACAAGCATTTCATCTTTCAAGAAAGTAAGCTTGTCAACAGTGTGTTGGGGCTGTGTTGAAGCTTGATGGAACTTACCAACTCAAAGCTTATAAAACAGAAGGCTAAAAAGAAACACTTACACATCAGTAACTTAAGCATCCCTTATAACAGTAACATTAGAAGTGTTATTGTCATTTTCAAAATTACCTGAAAAAATATTACTATAGAATGGTTCTGTTTACTAAGATTCTGCATAAATTGACCTATTATGTCCTAATATAATTCGCTTTCTGTTTGAAATCTGAACTCTTTCTTCTTTTATCTCAGCGTATTAGGTAAATTTTTTGATTTCATTTGCTTAAATAAGTGATTTCTCTGTTATGTACTAATGAATGGAAAAAAAACACCAAACAACGATTAAAAAACAACACAAGACAACAATTTTTGTTTACGTGGAAACCCTTCAGTGTGAAGGGAGAAAACCACGGGACCAAACTCAGTTGGTCCAATTCTTCCACTATCAACCAAATTGGCCAGGATTACAATACTGTTGAAATCTGCTGCTAAAGACAATCAAATAACTATTGATTTCCTATGACTGTCTCTCCCCCTCTTTCTTTATATACAACCCGAGCAGTGGACTCCTCCATTATATACAAACCGAGCCGAGCCATTTGAAACGGATGCCAGAGTAATCCTCCTCAATGCCTTCTAAAACCAGCCCACACCACTCTTTGATTGGGTAGCGAATGACCAATTAACTGCTCAAAATCTTTTAAGACCGTAAAAAAATCATCAATCTCAACAGTTTTTTCTATCTCCTCTAATGCGATTCTGGCAGCTTCTCTTTCCCTCTCCCGCTGCTGCAATTTCAAGTCCCTTTCAACAGTATTGATTTGGGCTTCAATCTTGACCATCTCTTCACGCTGCTGCCTTTGTAGTCTTTCTTTTTCCTTCTGTAATCTCATAAGATCATCTTTATAATCTTGATCAAGTAATTTCCCTTTCGCTTTCAGGATAGTATCAGCGAATCGGGTCTTCAACTTGGCAGCACGTAGAGCTTTCGGGGACAGCTGATCATCAACACTTTTGGCCAGTTGATCATCTTCTCTTGCCGGTCCAATTTTCTGGACGATTTTCCAAGTAGATTGACGGCCGCCATTCTTCGCCCTCGGAATTCCGACATCAAAACAACGTTCAGACTTCAAACTTTTCTTTACGTGACAACCTACCTTCTCGGCGGGTCTACGCTTATTGAAGGCTGGCATTGTGAATGACAATCTCACTTTCTTATTTTCTTGGGTAATTCTTGAATGATTTTCTTGAGTGATTCTTGAATGATTTTCTTGGTTTCCTTTGATTTCTTCAACTTGATTATGGAAGCGTATGGATCGAGAATGTGCGGTTTCCTTTAATTTCTTCAACTTGATTCTGGAAGCGTGTACGTTCTTGATGTATAATGTGTGTTTTTGTAAAGTTTAGTCGAGTATATGTATTGTTGCCCTTGTGCCGTATTTGACGAGGGAAGGAGCGCGCGAATAAACTGTTTTTTAGGTCACACCGCTTAAATGTTATAATATGGAAACTCTACAATTATTGTCGAGAGGAATTCTATTGGGATCTAAAAAATTTGATCTAATTTATTATGATTTTTAGATTGGTTGTAAGCCCCATTAAACATTAGAACTTGATGTTGATCCAATAATTCTTATTAAGTCATATCATTATGTCAGCAAATTAGGTCAAATTTTTAGGTCCAAATAATATTACTCTATTCACAATATCACTAACATCTCATTTAATTTATATTTAAACATCATTAACATTTTTTACTATTAAACTATCATTTCTCACAGAAAAAAAAAATCATCAAAAATACAAAAATTACTCTTATATAAAGCCAAATAATCTTTCTACGTAAAATTCGAGTGGATTAAAATTTATTTTTTTCATATTAAAATTTACGCTCATTAAAAATTATTTTTTCACATATTAAAATTTAATTCGAACTGATTAAATTTTATATTTTTACACATTAAAATTAGAGCCTATAAAAATTTGTTTTTTTAGTATTAAAATTCGAGCTGATTTGGGTTTTACCTAAAATGTTAGCGCTAATTAAAATTTTTTTTGACTCAATTAAAATTTATATTTTTTTTATGTATTAAAATTTGAACGAATTAAAATTTAATGCGAATTAATTAAAATTTAATTCGAGCCGATTAAAAAA